CAATCGGGGAAGCAGGAGGTTGGCCAGCCAGGGAGGGACTGCAGGAGGGCTCCAGGGCATGTCCGGCCCATCTCGCTCAGTCCTCACTGGCTGGGCCCCAGAAGCAAGCTCACCTACCAGTCAGAGCATCTTCCACCTGGTGGTCAATGCACATCATAGCGAGTGGTTGAGTGGCCTTAGCATATCATTAGCATTTTATGCCTTGATTGGTTGAACAGCCAACCGGATAACCGGACACTTAGCATATTAGGCTGTTATTATATAGGATGATGAAATCACAGGCAAATTGCCTAAATCCAGTAAATCTGAGAGGCTACAGGTTTTAAGTGTGATAAAAGATTAATTTCGTGGCTATGTGTTAGGAGAAGCTACCTTAGGAGAAATGGCTTCTTCACTTTAGAAGAAGCCATCCAACTCTACCCTTCTACAGCTAGTTCTGTTCCCTCAGTCTATAGGCCAGTTCATAATGCAGACATCCAGACTCAGCTAATTTTAGAAATGCTGATGTTACAATAGACATAAATGTTTCTCTACAAACTCATAGGGGACAAATAAACAATATTTCTGTGAATCAATTTAACCTGAACTCCCAGTCACTTTTGAAGAAAAATATTTTATCTCAGGCATCTTGAGGGTGACCGTCTTTCTCCCTAGAATTGAATATGAATTCATGGGACCTGTGTGGCTCCCAGCAAAGGACAGAAAAGTCCGGTTCCCCTGACTGCTGCTGCTGAGAAGCTCATTCTCTGAACCCACTCAGCCAATGGGCAGGCAGCTCCATCCTTTCACACTAAAGTATGGGGCTCTTCCCCCTCATCCTCAAGGCCCTGACTGTCTCCAGCATCCACCCCTCCATCCCACAGAGCTTGTGTCACTTCTGAGTGACTGCGTGGAAACAGAGCACAAGTCTACGTCACTCAAAGACTAAAACAGCCATCCCCACACTCACCACAGGCAAGGGCCACTTCCGCCTCCTCGCTTCTTATAGAGGAAGGAATAGGAGCTTACTTATCATACGTGAGTAAGCATGTCTTGAAAGGAGAATACTAAAAATGTGTGTTGACTCTTTGCATTCTTGGGCTTGCAGGGGAGAATTCTAGGAACTCCATCTGAGGCTAATTGGAGCCCCTCACTTGACAGATATAACATATGCCTATGCAGGCCTGAGCTTTCCCCAGAGCTCTCTGCCTCAGCCTCTGACAAGATAGATCTAACCAGCTTCCTCAACACTTACCCATCAGAGAGTGCCTAGTGTGAACCTCAGTCCTGGAAGGACTTTATTGCCAGCCTCAACTCAAAGGACTTGCTTGAACCTGAGGGTGAGATGTTGGCCTTTGGATCCAGCATCAGTTGCTGACTCTTCCTGCCCCAATCATGGTTCCAGCTGCAGGTGGTGAAAGCCTTTAGCTTGTGGTCCAGCACTGCCAAGTCTCGGAGTGCCAACACTGTCATAAATGAGGAGTGCCACACCCACCAGTGGGCAGGGCCAAGATGCATCTGTAGCCCTAAACCCCAGTCCTATGGGCTGGGAACCAAGGGGAAAGAAAAGAGAGGAAGAGATCTTGGCTTGCACTTATTTCTCCACAGGGCCCGAAGCAGCCCTCTTAACCTGACCCATGGCCCCATCTAACATCCTCAGGAAACTAGACCCTTCCTTATTGCTTGCCATTCCCCACCTCAACCAGGACCTGGTGTTTCACATCAGTTGAGATGGACCTGTCTGGAACCAAACCTGTTGTCTACTGGTCAAACAAGTTGCCATGTCACACAGAGGCCTGTCCTGGGGCCTACCAGGGAAAATTTAAAAACTGCAGAAAGATTTCTTGTACTTTCATTGCAGTTTTTCCTCTAGTTGGTAAAACCAATCTTTCAAAATTCCAACTTTGCCTCTGCTACAACCAAAAAAGGCAAGTCTTATCACTACACCCTTGAGACAGGCAGGACCTGTGTATGGTTTGTTGCAGCCATGACTGCCCCCTCTGACAGAAGCAGAGTAGCCAGGACAGACAGGACCCAGCAGAAACCAAAAGGATGTTTCCCGCCATCACTGAGGCCACCAGTGAAGATTGGGCTGCTGGGGAAAGGGAGGGACTGGGGGTCTCCAGGGAAAAGATGTGAGTTGGCCTCCTGTTGGGTTAGGCCAGTGCTGTGCTAGAGCTCCCTTGGCTCATACAAGCCAATAATGAGCATCTCTTTCTGGCTCTATTTTCAGTAAGGCCACATGGGTAGCAGCAGACAATGATAGGAGTGACAAGCTGAGGGTAACAGTTTAGGGATCAGGGACTAGAGCAGGGGTGGGCAAACTTTTTGACTCCAGGGCCACAATGGGTTCTTAAACTGGACCGGAGGGTCGGAACAAAAGCATGGATGGAGTGTTTGTGTGAACTAATATAAATTCAAAGTAAACATCATTACATAAAAGGGTACAGTCTTTTTTTTTTTTTTTTTGGTTTTATTCATTTCTAACGGGCCAGATCTGGCCCTCGGGCCGAAGTTTGCCCACGGCTGGACTAGAGCCAAAAACAGAGGGGTATTTAAGAGCGAATGCCAGGAAGTGAGACACAAATCCCGTCTTCACCCTTCTTTACCATGTGAAGCCAGCCAGGTCTCTGGCTGCCAGAATACTCACAATTGTCCTTGTAGGAATCCTGCACCCTCCTTCAGCTCTCTTCCATTCCCATACCCCAAAGATAATGCAATTACTCACACTATTTCTCTAGGGGCTTGAACTTTCCAACTAAGAGGTGATTTTCTTCATTTCATGTCTATTCCCATCATTCCTCATTTTTCCTACATTCCTCATCCCGTTTTCCTCAAACCAGAACCACTGTTCAAGAACTGAATGCTGAAATCCACCATGATCTAATCCAGCCTATCAAACTCGTGGCCTGCAGGCTGCATCAAGAGCTTGATATGCTTGAATTCCTCTCCTCCCCCGGCCCTTGGAAAACTCTCCTCCTCCCCTGATCAGAGACCGCAGGCCCCTTTGAAATCTCCCCATCTCCTTTCCTCCCTCAAATGGAATTAATGCATAACCTTGAGAGAGTAAAGTGAGGACAAACCCAAGAACACACACCTTCCTCCATTCCCACAGAGAAGGACTAATAAGGCACTAAGGAGAGACATCTGAGGATTACAATAAACCACAGGCCCAGTCTCCATGGGCCTTATACACTGGCTGCTAAGATCTGGCCAGAGATGACATCTGTGTGAGGCTCCGTCCACCAAATGGAGCTTAAAGTGATACATGTGTCATGGTTACCATTTGGTTAAGCTATAGGATTATGGCGGAATAGTCCAATTTTTACATAACTACCTCTACTGGTATACATAGTGCTTTATTGTTTACATGTTCTCATTTAATCCTTGCAGCAACCTTGAGGTAGGTATTATTATCCCCACTTTACAGATGAGTAAACCAATGTTCCTAGGTTAGATTACTTGCTGAAGATCATACACTTATTAGGGCATAGCCACTGATAAGTCCAAACCCAAGGGAACTCTTTTGGGTAATTCACAAGTTGCCGCCAAGGAAAGTAGAGCTGAAAACTTCAACTGGGAAGGGCTGGATTATTCATTGGAGCTCAAAGGGGGTGAGGAGGATTCTTCCACCAGGGATGAATGAGGCACATTTACAGGCCAAGACCAGAACCGAGCAGGAGAAGCCTAAAGCAAGTGAGAGCTGTGAAGCAGGAAGAAGTCTTTAAGTTTAGTGAGAGTTCATAGTGTCTTCAAATATGCACAGAGCTCAGCTTCCAGGGTCTGGAGAAATGACATGGCATCCAGGAGCTGCAAGTCCAGGGGTTGGCCACAGAACTGGTGGGCCGAGGCAGAGAGCTGCTGCTGAGTGGCACCATCTTAGCTTGGGCAACGGTGTCATGACTTGGGAGCAGTGGTCCTTTAACTTTGTTAAGGCCTTGAGAATCTGATGAAAGCCATAAAAATCCACCACCCCCAAGAAAAACACAGACACACATATACAGACAACATTTTTCATATGATTTCAGGGAGTCCATGGACCCCCACTGGAGAACTAACTGCTTTAGGGCAAGGGTGTCAACCTGAGTAAAGTCACTGATACAAACTTATCTTTACACTGCTTGTATTTCCTGACTGTTCCCCTTTTGTTGTTCCCTAATGTTTAGAATGTTGTGAAATTTATTTTTAATTGGAGCCAAAGAAACGGGGTCCAGCCTGCACTCCAGCCAGAGAAAGAGAGCAGCTATGCATGCCTTGGTGGTATCCAGGAGGCGAAAACAAACTGAAATATGGGGTCACCTGTCCTGCTACCCAAGGGATTGGTGGAGTGGGGGCAGTTGTTTATTTCCTTTTAGAAAGCCATTCCTTCACTGGCTATAGGGTCTAAAGTTCTGCAGTCAACTCCCCACCCCAACCTTCCCCTTCCTTACTCAGATGAATATACCTGAGCAATGGCCCCGTCATTCATGCACATTTGGCAGGTGTCCTATGAACACTCATATATACACATGCTCTTTCATGAAAGAAGGAAAAGTGGGGTGGAGGGGGATCATGCACTCTCCACAGAGAATTAGACTAACTAGAAGAATCAGCAAAACCACTCCAAGGACTCAGTGCACATTAGCTTCCAACCACCTCCATAGCTCCTCCTTCTGGCCAGGGTCCAACCAGAAGGCAAAGTCATAGCTATGTCCTATGCCCCTCCCCTAATTTACAGGCCGAAAATAATGGGCCAAAACTGAAGGGGTCACTGGGGTTCAGAGAGCAGGGGTGGGAAAAGCCCTGATTCACTGCAGAGAGAAGTTGTGATCTCTCATGGGAATCAGGAATCAGGACACAGACAAAGGCCTGGCCTGGAACCCATCTAGGGCCAGAGAGGGCTGACACTGAAGTCAAGTGATCACTCAAAGGCCAAAGAGAACTCAGAGGCCATGATGGTTTTCCAGGCCCAGTGACCCCAACATCTCAATGGTCACTCCATTCCAGGGGCCAGTCATGCACTAGTGGTTACTTGCCCAGCCCTACATGGGTGTTTCATCACATGTGGCCAGAGGAGCTCCAGTTAACCAAATACGGGCTGGGCTCGGGCAAGGATCAAGCAGAAAAGGTGGAGGGAAGCCACCAAAGCCATTGCCCCTCTTGCCTAGAGCCAGGGGCAGCCACTCATCTTCAGGAGAGAGAGGGAGGATCCTGGCTGTAGCTTGTGGTCCCAGATGGCGGTGCCCCCGGGTCCAAGCCCACCTTGTCTCTAGCCAGAAGTTCCCTCTGTCGCCTTAGCTGCTGACGTTGACCAATCAGGAAAAGAATCAGGGATGCTGCAAGAACCCCCAGAAAAAAGCCAGCCAGTCCAGCCCCCACAGCATGAGCCTGGCTTGAGGAGGGGGACGGGAGAGGGATTGAGGGGGTCGGCGGTGGGGGACTTGTAGGGAAGGTCGGGGGAGGGTTTGTGGGGAAGGGGTATGGAGGGACCTGATGGCTGCCCCATACCAAGCTATAAGCCGCTACCACGCGGGCTGCCCCACCCTCCTGACATTCACAAGCATAAGCACCCATGGCCCCTGGGGTTACCACCACCTCTAGCCCATCCCTCCGGGGGGTAAAAGCAGTCACTCCACTGGGCTGGTGCCACACACAGGATGCCCAGGCTGAGCTTGGGGAACATGGCAACACCACATGCACAGCTGTAGCCACAAGAACTTCAAACACTACTGGGTATTCTGCAGAGAAACAGCAAAGGCATAAAAGGTAGTGAGGCTATAGGCTGGGGGGTGGAGGGCTGATGAAGAGAAACATAGAGGGATATCAGATTTGAGAAGGAACCATGGGGGCAAAGCTAAAAGGAGATTCCCAAAAAGGGTAAGGCCCAGGTCACTGGCTACCATATCTTCCAGGATCCAACTTCAAAGTGGGTCCAAAATGGACAACTTTCTAGCCTCTTTCCACCCAACTCCACCCACATTTCCATAAACCAGACAGACCTCCAGGCTCTTTAGGACACAGAGAAGAGACATCCGCTGACTCTATGTCTTGGACCAGCCTACAAAGAAGAGAATATTTGATAAATCCAGTGTCAATATTCCCTTCTATACTCCTCAGTACCACAGAATACTCACTCACTCGTTATATCTCCCATCATCTCATTAATCACTCCTGGAATTATCAGTCAACATTCTCATCATTAAAATTTTCCCCAATACTCCTCATGACAATTAACATGTCAAATTCTACATACGTTCTAGCAGACCATAGAAAATTAAATCTGCACTAGGTCTGTTGGAAGGATGTTTTGTGGTGTGCTTTAAAAAAAACATTGGAAACTTCCAAGAAATACAGCTGAGTCTCCACACCATAAGATTTCTCTGAAAAAAGTATTAAAATTACAGGGTGGTCTGGGGATTTTTTTTTTTCTTTTTTCTGTTAAAAGAAAGTGAGGACTTCTCTATGAAAGTTAATCAAAATTCTTTGAGGGTCAGTCAGTGAGATGACTTTGTTTCATAATGCTGCTCATCTCTATATAGGAACTCTTTCTTCAACAACTGTTGGTACCTATTGGCCTCTAACAGATCTGTTTCAAATCATACAATTTGGTATTTTCAGGATTTCAATGAACTATGTCTAACAGAAGGACAGCAAGACAGGCTGCTCACTCTGAACTTCCTGGCACCACTACCAGAGGGAGGGAGGGAGGGAGGCCAGGGAGACCTCTAGTGGGCTGTCAGTGAAGACCAGGTGGAACACACAAAAGCTTCAACCAAAAGGAGATTCCCTTTGAGTGTGAATTCCTTCAACATGAACTGGAGCCCCTGAAATAAGCTCTGAGACTAGTATGAATATGTTAAAGTCTCTGGGTAAAACCAAGTTTGCTTAGTCTAGCTGACAGTTGGGAACATGGGAAGGCCATAGGTGTGGCTATAGCCACAGGAACTTCATGGTCTATGTTTTCCCCCTTATATGAATTGAGGTATGAAGGGTAGAGTGCACAGAAGTACCAGCTTGGTCTATTCTCACATTACTAAGAAGTATACTGGCATGTATGCACACCCCACATCCTACACACACATACATATATATGTGGAGGAGACCCTGAGGCTCAAGTACACAGGGTATCCAACACCAATTAAATTCTTATTTTAATGAATATTAAAACAATAAAGGAAAGAATAAAGCACTTGTTTTCATGTGAGATGTGTCAAATTTCTCCCAAGAGAAACTAAAATACCAGATCAAAGTTCTTAACCAAAATTAATTCCCAAAAACAAGTAGTTTTACTTCTAAAATATTTATAAGGAAACAAGATGGCGGTGGAATAGGCAGAGGCACCCCAAGGCTTGTCCCGGAGCAAATAGAATGAGCAGCTGAAACAAATAACATCTACCCCGAATTGGTGAAGGAGACTCAGCTGGTGAGACAGTTTCCAGCCGGGAAGGGGAGAGTTCCCCTGGAAAGGTAAAAACCAGGGATCTGGGCAGGAAAGTTTGCCAGTTCGCTGAGCCCAGAGGGTCGGAGGGAAACCGTGTGGCGGCAACCAGCCACATCCCTTGGGACAGGCACAGCTTCTGACGGGGGAAAGGAAATCCTCAGGACTGTTGGTGCCGGGGGATTTGAGGTCTGGGTTCCATAATTACAGAGGACTGGACCCAAAGGGGGCAGCCTGAAGCCCTGACCAGACCACGCAGTGCCGGTAAGAGAGGAGCTCACTGAGACTCAGTCTTCCCCGTTTCTGAGGCCGGCGTTTGTGTGTTTGCTTTCACTGAACCCTGTTCCTAGGACATTTCAGATACAGACACTCACCCGTGTTGAGGAGAAGAAGGTGCGGACGAGTGGAATCTGGGGAGAGGCTGGGAGAGAAGGGGGTTCAGGAGAGGTGGCAGCAAGTTGAGTGCTGAGTCACGCCTGACCCCAGGACCTGGGCAGCCATTTTCTCCTGAAGCTATAACCCCTCCCTCCAGGCCCCAGGCAAGGAATACAGCCACACCCAGATTCCACCCTAAATGGGATGAAGGATTAAAAAATCTGATTAGTCCCTGGAAGTTAACAGGGTCTGGCCCATAGAGAGGCATTCAGTCACAGCAACAACAAAAAACAAACAAAAAAATCATAAACATTCCAGAAAACTGGGATCTTAAGCCAGCCAAAGGAATGACATTTTAATTTCTCATTTTTATTTTTTTACTATAATTTTTTTAGCTCTTTTTTCTTTTTCTTTTTTCTTTGTTTGCCTTTATTTGTTTGTTGCTTTATTTTCTAATTCTTTTCACATTATATTTTCATCATTCAATTTTATTTTATTTTTACTTGTTGTTTTCTATTTTTATATCATTTTTTAAATCAATTTCTTTGTAAATATATTATTTTGTTCCCCTTCTTTCTCTTTGTATCCACTCATCCCTTTTCTACTTCCTCTATACTGAATTGAGGTCCTCCCCATATTTATCCTATTCTTTTTTTTATTGTTTTATTGCTTAACGTATTGCAAAGAGTATTACATATGTCTCCTTTTTTTCCCCCGACCTTGACAATCCCCTGGCCTCCCCTACCCCCCAGTGTCTTATGTCCATTGGTTATGCTTATATGCATGCATACAAGTCCTTCGGTTGATCTCTTACCCCCCTTCCTCCTGCCCCCAAACCCTCCCCAGCCTTCCCGCTGCAGTTTGACAGTCTGTTTGAGGCAGCTCTGCCTCTGTATCTATTATTGTTCATCAGTTTATAATGGTCTTTATTATCCATGAATGAGTGAGATCATGTGGTATTTTTCCTTCATTGACTGGCTTATTTCACTTAGCATAATGCTCTCCAGTTCCATCCATGCCATTGCAAATGGTAAGAATTCCTTGTTTTTACAGCAGCATAGTATTCCATTGTGTAGATGTACCACAGTTTTCTAATCCATTCATCTACTGATGGACACTTAGGCTGTTTCCAGATCTTAGCTATGGTGAATTGTGCTGCTATGAACATATGGGTGCATATATCCTTTCTGATTGGTGTTTCTGGTTTCTTGGGATATATTCCTAGAAGTGGGATCACAGGGTCAAAGGGGAGTTCCATTTTTAGTTTTTTGAGGAAACTCCATACTGTCTTCCATAGTGGCTGCACCAGTCTGCATTCCCACCATCAGTGCACAAATGTACCTTTTTCTCCACATCCTCTCCAGCACTTGTTGTTTGTTGATTTGTTTATGATAGACATTCTGACAGGTGTGAGATGGTACCTCATTGTTGTTTTGATTTGCATCTCTCAGATGATTAGTGACTGTGAGCATGTTTTCATATGTCTCTTGGCTTTCTGAATGTCCTCTTTTGAAAAGTGTCTATTTAGGTCCTTTGCCCATTTTTTGATTGGATTGTTTATCTTCCTTTTGTTAAGTTGTATGAGTTCCATATAAATGTGGAGATTAAACCCTTATCGGTGATAACATTGGCAAATATGTTCTCCCATGCAGTGGGCTTTCTTGTTGTTTTGTTGATGGTTTCTTTTGCTGTGCAGAAGCTTTTTATTTTGATGTATTCCCATTTGTTTATTTTCTCTTTAGTTTTCAATGCCCTAGGAGCTGTATCAGTGAAGAAATTTCTTCGGCATATGTCTGAGATTTTGTTGCCTTTGGATTCTTCTAGTATTTTTATGGTTTCCCGTCTTATATTTAAGTCCTTTATCCATTTTGAGTTTATTTTTGTGTATGGTGTAAGTTGGTGGTCCAGTTTCATTTTCTTGCATGTATCTGTCCAATTTTCCCAACACCATTTATTAAAGAGACTATCTTGGTTCCATTGTATGTTCTTGCCTCCTTTATCAAATATTAATTGAGCATATTGGTTCGGGCCCATATTTATCCAATTCTTAACCTTATTTCCGGTATATCAGCTCAGCCTCTACAAATTCAGCCCCCACCCTTTACTGGGTGTTTGGTGTTTGTATTTGTTTGGTTTATCTATTGGTTCTGTGGTGTTTTCTATATATATAGAAAAGGACCAGACTTTCCCTATTCCTTCCTCTTTCCTCAAGTAAATCCCCACATGAATAAAGTCCAAAACAAAGTCCTCCTCCCCACTGGAGCCAGGACCCCCGCCGCAGAAGAATTAAACTTTATTCTGTGTCCGAGGGAGCTCTACTGACCTCTGTGTGTGCCCCTGTGTCATGTCTGTGTGTGTGTGTGTGTGTGTGTGTCCTAGATTACAGCATAAGGGTTAAGTGAGACTGAAGGAAAGATGGCTAACTGGGACCAGGGAGACTTGCAGGCAATTTCCTATCCTCTGAGAGATTTAAAAATGGGAAATAATAATAAAATAATAGCTTTAAAAAAATGGGTAGATAAAAAAATGGGTAGACAAAGAAAAAACCTAAGGAAAGAAAAGGATAAATTGCCAGAAAATCGGCTAAGTAAAACAGAGGCATGCAATATGTCAGAAAAAGAATTCAGAATAAGGGTCCTAAAGTGCATAAACTGGATGGAGGAAAAAATCAACTTATGCAACAATCAAGAAGTGAAGAGTGATATAGTGGCAATAAAAAACACCATGGAAAGTTTCAAAAGTAGACTTGGAGAGGCGGAGGACCGAATTAGCAAATTAGAAGACAAGGAAGCAAAACACACCCAAACTAAACTGCAATTGGAGAAAAAAGTTAAAAGACAGGAGGAGAGTCTAAGGGAGCTATGGGACAACATGAAATGAAGCAACATACGAATAATAGGGGTGCCAGAATAATAGGAAGAGAAACAAGGCGTAGAAAACCTATCCAAATAAATATTGTCCGAAAACTTCCCTGATATGGGGAAGAAAAAAGTCACACAAGCACAGAGAGTCCCAAACAAGAAGAAACCGAAAAGACCCACACCAGGACACATCATAATTACGATGGCACATGTTCAGGACAAAGAGAGAATCTTAAAGACTGAAAGAGAGAGACAGAAAGTTACATACAAGGGATCTCCCATTACATTATCAAATGATTTCTCAACAGAAACACATCAGGCCAGAAAAGAATGGAAGGAAATTTACAAAGTGATGCAAAGCAAGGGACTGAATCCAAAAATACT